TTTTCCATCCTGACATGGGATTAATGTGCTGCATTTGCATGCTAAAACAGAACATTTAATTGTAAAAGTGGTGTTGTCAAATTACCTTTCAATGAGTTTGTTTCAAATGGTTCATTAAAGTTTTCAGAATTGCTCACTGTACGATTGCATCTCTGCTATGGTTTGATATATTATTTTTCTCATCAGTAGCTGGTACTGAGAAAACCTTTACTTGATACACTATTTGCTAGTCTAGCATATTTTGAACAAAAAGCTGTCACCAAGTCAGTTAATCGTGTAAGTGTGTTTTTAAGTTTATCCCTATACAGAAGTACAAAACTTACTTCCTCATCACTAGTCCAAAAAGAGGGTAATGAGTTTGCTAAATATGATACCTAAGGGATTTATGGCTAGATTTTTAAAGGTATTTAAGTGTCTCACAGGTTTTCAAAAGCAACTAGGCACCAAACATCTTTGATTTCAATGGATGTTAGGCATCTTTTGATGCTTTTGAAAGTCCTACTATAGGCACCTAAATGGCTTTAAAAATCTGGCTTTTAGTCTTCCCCTTTGGTCTTTAACATTAGAAGTCTGGGCTTCAAACTCTGCTGACAGCCCAAGACAGATCGCTTATATTATGGCACCCAATTTGGGATTTGAACTCTCAAAAGCCTGAGACACTTGGGATTAGTGCATTGCTCCCAGATATAGGAAGGATATATAACTTGTTAGCCACATGTGGGTCTGCAGCCCAGGGCTGGACCGAGCCATTCCGGTGCCCCCGGACAGTTTAATTGAGCCCCGGATTGGGGAGGCGCATGTGCGGCCCTACCCCCGCCCAGCATGCGGAGGAGGGCGCGCGGAGCTGGCGGCGGCACGATGCATGTTCCCAGCCTGGCCCAGCCCAGCCCGGCTACCACTTCTGGTGCACAGCCCGTGGCTGCCCGGGGTGTGCCTGAACCTGGCTGTGCAGGGCCCCACGGCAGCGGGGGGGAAAGGCACTGCTGGCCGACGCTGAGGGGGTTAATGCGACCCCTGCCCCGGGCACGCAGCGCCTGATGGCAGCTATAAGGGGCGCTGTGCGTCCCTTACAGCTACCATCAGGTGCCCCCCCATAGGTTGGTGTCCCAGGCAGCTGCCCGGCTAGCCCATGCCTTAATCCGGCCCTGCTGCAGCCTCTGCTAGTAGCTGGACCACACAAAAAATTAATGGGTCTTCTCAATCAAACAGCTAAGCTTTATTTTACTCCATTCAGCTTTTTATGCTTGATGGCCACAGCCATAATATCTGGGCACCTCTCAATAATGCAGCAAATGACAAGACTAGCATCAATCATAGATTGCATTCAGTGCTGAAGATCCTGGTTAGAAACCCAGCTTTTACTCCTTAAGGTATGGGTCTTCTGCATTTGGGCATCCCTTTTCATCCAGAGCTGTCAGAGTACTTTATAAACCTGAATTCATCCTCCCTGCAATGTGAGTTTTTTCTCTCTATTACCATATCTGTAAGGCACTCTTTCAAATTAAAAATGAGAAATGGAAACTATTTATATTTAGACACCTGGACAGGTCAATCAAACCTTGACTGTCGTGTCAAACCACCCTTGTTACTGATTCACTGTGCTTTTCGCTGTCAATCATTGTTTCTTTTTTATTAGCACATCCTGTGATTGATGATTTATTGACATAACACTGTCACTCTGCTTCTAGGAGGTTTGCAAAGTAGGGAATGTAAAGGACATTTATTTCTGTGGTAAAACTACACCTTCATCAAGGGCCTCTCATACACTGTCAGACTCAGAGGGATTAGTGAACATTGTGGTTAAACATCTTGGCCTTGGTGATTTCCTTAATGGACATGTAGCCCTGAGACACAACACAGAGCATCTGTTGTAATCTCCTTACCAAAAATGACCAGATGTTTCATAGCCTAGTCTGGGTCAGTAGCACTTAGATGAAAATCCAGTTTAATGAAGTGTCTTCCAGAGTGATTTAATGGCTTTAGAGTTGGAGACTGGGTTTACCGATCTTTTGTTGATTAGCCCTCAGAGAATATATATCAAGAGAAGGAGAAAACTCCTTGGGCTACATTACAGGTAATGTGTGCTGGAGGACATTGATTGAGTTTGTAAGGCACAACTCTGCATTGGACTTGTCCAGGAGGAGCTCAGGCTAAGTCTGTCATTCAGGCAGACGTAGTTAGTTCCTGAGCTCTTTTCTGTGCATGGTGTTCTTTCAGGTGTGCAGCATTTTCTGTGGGTGAGTGGAAAGAAAGAGCCAGTACCAGCTCTCATCCTTTCTGCACTTTTTTTTTTTTTGCTTCATTGGGCTGGTGTGCGGGAGCACAGAGATTAATGCAAGGGAATACAACAGGAGGCAACCTTCACCTTCCCAGACTGTGTTGTGCCAAGGACTAGAGATGTATGGTCTTGGGGGCAAGGATCAAGTTTTCATCTACATGCAATTTTCTTCAAATGGTTTATTTTGTAGTTTTTTGGGGGCCTTCAAGTTAAGTCTGAAGACTGCATACACTGTACTGTAGCATTTATTTATTTCAGTGCTTAAAGAAAGCACCAGGGACTATATGTAAGCTGGGATAAGAAAAACTCAATTGTGTGTCATATTGAATTAGCAGTATAAAGAGACCATATTTTAAAGAAGAGACTGGAGTTACAGTTGAGATTCCAGTCTTATCCAGGAGCTGTCTTGACTTTAGAGAGCTTGATTTCAACCCTAATGTTGCATTAACACTATTTTTTAGTTTATTCTCTGTCTGTGTTTCTGGGCATGCTGCCCAGGCATATACTTGATGTAGGATAGAGAAAGTTAAGCTTTGTTTTAATCAATGATGAGTCCAAAATGAAATCACATGTGAGCTGTACTTAGTCATCATCTGAATGGAAATTGCATGGTGTTGATCATTGCTATATGTAATACCAATTCTAGGAGAAACTGTATTGCAATATAATGGAATAATCTGAATAAGCACCACTGTCCTCATATGGAGTCAACCTGCTAAACTGTTTGTGACTGTCAAATCTCATTGTTGGCTCTCAAAAGGGTAAACACCCCTATTCTGCTGACAACTGAGTTTCTCCTATAGTCCTAGTGGTAGAAATTAAGGACATGGTTCTATTTTCATTTAGACTCAGCTGTAAATCCTCTGGGGTAAATGGCGGTACACTAATATAAATCAGAACAGAATTCCAGTACTTTTGGTTTTTTAGAGATAATCCTGAATGCTAAATCTCAACTGCAGTTGATCTGTAGTACATGTACTATCTGCAGAAAGGCTTCCAACATGTCTCATGACTTATCCACAAAGCAATTGCTAGGTAAAGTATTTGATTTTACATAGAGTTACACCTGTTATTAGTATATGTTGCAGACGTAATATGATTTACTAGTGTTGTTTGTTTCCTGCTGCTATGTCAGCAATTGTTTTAATCCAAGTCTCTTTAATAGACTCTGTTTATGTCTCCTCCTCATGTAAAAACTCAGCAACAACCAGAAAGGGAAATTAAAAATAAAATCAAGTACCTACTATGCTAATTTAATGAATACAAGGAACATTTCCCTCAAATGTCTTTTTCCCCTCATCTTTAACAACAAGGGCACTGTAACAGTGTGGAAGCTTTGTGGTAATTATTTCCATTACATAGTATCTATTAAGTTTTTCTCTTTACATAAAAATATGCTGGACTTAGCACTTATATAAATTTAGCAGGACATTATTGTGTCAGCCTGGGAAAACAAAAGTGAAATAAGGGTTCTGCAGGTTAAATATAATATGTATTAACAGGATTATTTAAGTCTTTGAGTCTCTCAGAAGTCATTATGAGGTTACCAAAGGTGATCTGAGGTGTTCTTAGCTCTTATATCATGTTAGTGGTACAATTCTGGTCTGGTTTTTAATGAAGATAGCACACAGAAGATGGCACTTAAAAGTGATGGCCAGATCCTCAGATGGTATGTATGAGCATAGCTGGACTGATAGCCAACTGAATCTCTGGCATATAAGTCTTCAGGTCATTTTTGTTGTCTACATCAGTGTTTTTAACCAGCGGTACGAGTACCCTTAGGGGTACTTGTGAGAAGTCTGGAGAGGGAGGGTACATCGACACAACTGAAATTTGGAGAAAACTGAACTTTTGTTTTAAGTTTTTCAGCACTTTATTATTTTTGTATTTTTACACCCAAAAATTTCATTGCCCACCTGGCTACAATTAAGTTGTTTAAACAAATGTGTTGCAATGGTAGAAAAAAATTGTGTGGTCTGAAAACAGTAGGTCCTGGTGGTACTTATAATTTTTTTTTTAAAAAAGTACTTTATATAAAAAAAGGTTGAGAAACACTGGTCTAAAGTATAGAAATGCTGGATGTAAAGGGCTGTATTTCCTCTACATCACTGGTTCAGTTCTGAGGCATCTCCTACAATGTTTCCCTTCCTGCCATCTTAAAGACCTTAAATCACAATCACCATTCTTCTGATGGAGGACAACTGGAGGGGACTTTGTTACCTAACAGTACTGCACCTTCATCTGAAAGAGTCATTATTGAGCAATACTGCAGCACTATAACTACACTGACTGTCTCCTGCTTGATAGGGCAGTAAACCAGCCCAGTTCAGACTAAAAGCTGCTTGTCACTTGGCAGATCTTTTACATTCCTCTTATTTTCAGTAACTGGGGGAGGGGAGGGCACATTCTGTTTTCATATACACCAGTGCAAGGCAGGAGTAATACTGTTGACCCCAGTGGAGTTACTCTGGGTTTACACTGAAAGCAGAATTTGGCTCAAGATTTATACTTTCAGTATCCAGTGGACAAATGCAAAGTGGAGAGGTGGATATCAGCAACAGGCTGTTGGTGAGACAGCTCCATTGGCTGGCTAAAAGGGTTCTGTTCTTAATCACATCACAGAGGACAATAGCTGCCCAGAGTTCTGTGGACAGGGGCTGTGACTTCATTTCTGCCTTGAAAGGATGTTGCACAAAAAACAGGGTACAAATGGTAGCAATATCTCAGGCTGCTGCTCTCAGTACAGAAAAGGTGCATCCCCCCCACCATCTGCTGTGCCATACTGCAGCCCAGAACTCCTTTCCAGTTTCAGCAGCCTTACTGCAGGATCTCTCCCCAGCCCACCTGACAAGCATAGGTGGAGCAAATCAAGGAGACATAGGCGTTGCATAAAGCCTCTGCCTGAGCAATTACTTGATTTTACATGTGGATTTTCTGGAAATGCACTAAACTGTAAGGTCCTGCCAACACATGACTCAGAGACTAACAAAAACCTCCTGCTGACTGCATTGCTCTGTGTGTGTGTGTATGTGTGTTTGTGTTGGCGGGGGGAGGCAGGGCAGTGGTCTTCTAAATCACTTCATTACTGAGGATTTGTACATGATTCTCTGAAGCTTTGTAATTGTTTCAGCTGCCTTGCCTTTTAAACTCTGCAACTTGTTGTAACCTTTGTAAAACCTTGCAACTTTGTAACTTTTCGTAACTTTCATCCACTCTGCTTGTAACTTGCTCTAACCTGCATTCTCCCCTGAGATATGAATGTGGGTGTGAGTAGAGACTATTGTGTGTTTGGAATTAGAAACTGCAAGGCTGAGCATGTGGAGCCAGATGATGAGTCATCAGACCAATCAAGAAGACAGGGCTGCTCTGCTGGATCAAGGGAAGTCTGGGCACCCTCCCTGAAGACAAATGTGAATGAGTCACAAGAGTCACAAGAGTTGTACAGAGGCAATAAGAGGAGAGAGCATGTGGCAGAAGCTCCCTTTTCTTAGAAGCTCTCTTTCTTTTCTGACCAGCTCCCCAGCTATGATCAGCAGATAGACCCTCTAGAATCAGCTCCTTCTGCAACCCATATGCCTGATGGCAGGAATGTGTGTGTGTGTGTGTGGGTGTGTGTTCTCTTTTAGTTTAAACCTTTAGTGGCAACTCTGTCCTCTTTAGTTTAACCATATAGTACATATAATGGAGTGTTAATTCCTCAATCAATAAATCCATACTAGTGTAACCCTAGTTGGTTTCCAGCGGGAATTTTGGGGTAACAATAGGAAGGTTCCACCCCCACCTTCTGCTATGAGTTCTCAGCCCCAGGAACCCTAAACATCTACCCTGCTTCTTTCTTCCTAGGACTTCTTCCTATGTCTCCCACTTTTTATAGGGTGCTGACCCCATACGCTCATCTCCCTGTAGTATCCTGTTGTGCCAGGGCTGTTCTCCTCAGGGAGATGGTTTCTGTTCAGAACCCCTTACTGAGGCATAGACTGTCCTTATTTCCACCTTGCAGACCTATGCTTAGTCATCTGACCTTTTATCACTCATTAGCTCCCCCTGGGGAGCTGAGCTAAGAGTGGCACTGATGAACCTGAGTTCAATCCTCTTAAAGGACCATTTCTGTGCCATATCTACTTCACAAGGGGTTGGGAATCTGACTCATAAAAATACCCCCACAGCAATCTCAGAGGGCGTTATTCTTCCCCTCTAGACATCTCTCTTTTCTCTCTGCAGTGAATGTATCTCGCCTGTGATGGAGTGAAGCAACCCCGTCACTTACCAGCGCCGCGAGCCACGGGCACCGGTGAGGTAACCGCCGCCGTGACCATGATTGCCATGGCACAACAGGAAGCCGGAGGCATGGCGTGTCATCAGGACGCGCCCGGGGGCAGCAAGGATGTCATAGATGCGCACGGGCAGAATAGGGAGGGGCGCCCAGAAGTGAAGGGTAAAAGAAGGGGCTCGGAAATAAAAGGGAGAGTGGGGAAAGGAGCTGGGGAGAAAGTACGGAAGGAGGGGAATTGGCTGGAGCGTGAGGGGGGAGGGCAGTCACTGCCCGGCAGAGTGGAAGAGACCCAGGGTGGGCCGTGGAACCCTGAGAGCAGGTGCGTTTGGGGTAGACACCCCACCTGCTACCGTCAGGAGACACACTCCTGATGTTAGGGCCCTGGGTCGGGGTCCGGAGAGAGGGTGGGCCCAGACCCCCCACTCTGCCCGGGCGGGCCTGGATCACCGACCAAGTTATCACAAAGGGGGGGGGGAGAGGGACCGAATCATGACAGAGGGGACAAAGTGTGACACGTGGTGGAGAACATGGGTATCAATCGGGGTCCTGCTCTAAGGACATACGACAGGGAGTAGCTGTATTTGTTGTTTAAAGGGACAAGCGCGATGGAGGTGGATAAAATCGTGGAATGGCTGGTGGAAAGTCAGCGCCAGTTGCAGCAGCAACAGACCGAAGCATTGCAGCAGCTGACGTCTGAATTTCGGGAGCAGCAGCGACAGCTGGTCCGTGAGTTGAGGGACGGAGGGAGTGTGACAGGACCCGTGGGTGGAGACGATGATGGGACAATAAGCTCTCGCCTCCCAATTAGGTTAGCCAAATTGGGGCCTGAGGATGACGCAGAGGCATTTTTGGTAACATTCGAATGAGTAGCGACGGTGGCCCGATGGCCCCAGGAACACTGGGCCACGATACTCGCCCTGTACCTCTCCGGCCCAGCACAGTTAGCCTACAGGGGCATGTCAGACCGGGACGCTCTCTGTTACTATAAGTTAAAAGAGGCGATACTCGATCAGCTGGGCATCTTGCCGGAGACCTACAGACAAAGGTTCTGGGCGGCCAAGTACTCACCAGGAGAACGACCCCGGGCGGTGGCTCAGTGGATCAGGGAGGCAGGGCTATGGTGGCTGGAACCTGCCACCAGGATGGCGGCTCACGTGGCCAATCTGGTGGTGTTGGAGCAATACTTGCAGGTGCTCCCCCCAGAAGGGCAACGTTGGGTACACCGCCATTTGCCGGGGACCCTGGAAGAGGCGGTAACATTATTGGAACATTTCATGGCGGCAGAAGGCTCAGAGGAACGTAGCAGGGCGGGGAGGCCCTAGCCTGTGAGGGAAGGAGGGACAGAGCAATGAAGGGGCAGGCCCAAAGAGTACACCAGGGCGAGGCCCAGAGCGGCGGCTAGCCCCGGTGTGGCACAGCCCAGAGAGAAAGGAGAAAGGGGAGGCACGAAACAATGAGGAAAAAGGCCTAGAGGTCAAGACGGTCCCGCTGCCGAGGCCAACCTGCTTCCAGTGTGGACAGGAGGGCCACTTCCACAGAGAATGCCCCATGATGGACTGTACGTATGGGCAACCCACTCCTCGGAGGGTACCGCGACAGGAGGTAAGCCGGGCCCGGATTACGCAGAGGGTGAGCCTGAACAGGGAAACAGTGGAGGCCGTGTTAGACTCAGGGTGCGGGCAGACATTAGTAAGAGAAGACGTTCTAAAAGGGGGAACGCCCAAACACCCCCAGGTGTGGATTAAATGTGTGCATGGGGACACTCGATCCTATCTGACAGTTCGAGTAGTCCTACAGGATGGACAACGAGGGGGGCCGCTGCGGGTGGTGGTAACATGACGGTTACCCTGCCCGGTATTGTTGGGCCGAGACTGGCCTGGATTTAGACAACTCCTACTAGGAGGGGACCACACCCGGAGAGGAGATGTAAAAGCCGTTTGGGTGGCCCAGAAAGAGGGAGGCATGCGCCAAGCTCAGCAGGAGGGGGGAGCAGCGGCAGCCTTAGTAGTGGACGCGGGAGACTTTCTGGTCTTACAGCGAGAGGACACAACACTCCGGCATGCTTGGGAGAACGTGCGGACGCCCGCAGTAGGAGCTGGGGGAACAGGTGAGGAACGCAGGCAAGGACCGTACTTCAAGATCCAGGGAGATAAGTTGTATCGAATCCCGGGGAGCGCGGAGCGAGAAGAGGAGGAAGCCCAGTTGGTCGTGCCTAGAGCTTACAGGTGGCGAGTAATGGAACTGGCGCACGACAACCCGTGGGCCGGGCACCTAGGGACGGAGAAGACCCAGCAACGGGTACTCCAACGATTTTATTGGCCCGGCCTTTACCAGGATATTAAGAATTTTTGTGCCTCCTGCCCCCAATGTCAACGGATGTCGGGGGCGAGGGTGCCCCGAGCCGCGCTGGTACCCATGCCGCTGGTGGCGGAACCTTTTGCGCGCGTGGGTATGGACCTCGTAGGGTCCCTTGAGCACACATGGAGGGGATACCAGTACATATTAGTGGTGGTAGATTATGCCACGCACTACCCAGAAGCCGTTCCCCTGCGTAAGACTAACGCGGCGGCGATAGCCGACGAGCTAATGAAAATGTTTGCACGGGTCGGCCTCCCCAAAGAAATCCTGACCGACCAGGGTCCAAATTTGGTATCATGCCTAGTGTCAGAATTGTGCAAGTGGTTACAGGTTAAGAAGATCCACACAGCGGCATACCACCCCCAGACGGACGGGCTGGTTGAACGCTTTAATCAAACACTGAAAGCGATGTTGCGAAGGCTGGCACAGGACGACCCTCGAGAGTGGGATAAATTATTACCGCCCCTGCTCTTTGCAATACGCGAGGTACCTCAGGCCTCGGTGGGGTATTCCCCATTCGAGTTGCTGTACAGGAGGCGGCCCCGGGGAATATTAGACCTGGTGCGAGAGGGGTGGGAAGAACAAACCTCAATGGCACTAGGGGCCATCCAATACGTGGTCAAATTGCAAAATAAGATGTGGACGATAGGGCGATGGGCCCAAGAGAATTTGCAGCAGGCGCAGGAAACGCAAGCCCGCCATTATGATAAATGGACGTGGACGAGAACCTTTAACCTGGGTGACCTGGTGCTGGTATTGTTGCCAGCGGGGGATTCCAAACTGTTAGCCAAATGGCAAGGACCCTACCGGGTGACGAGAAGAATCGGGGAGGTGGATTATGAGGTACAAGTAGGGGGTAGGCGTTGCAAGACCCAGGTCTATCACATAAACCTACTGAAGTGCTGGGTACCCAGGGAGGCCCCCCCGGTAGAAGCTCTTAATGCTGACATCGAGTTTGGGCCGTGGGGGGAGGAGGAGGTGACTTGGACGGCTAGCCCCATGGAGGCAGGGTTGAATTGCACCCAACAGGATCAACTATGGGAGGTATTACAACAAGCGGCGGCTAGCCTAACAAGCAGACCTGGAAAGACGACCATGGCGTGCCATGAGATCGACACAAACCCCGGCCAGAAAGTAAGAGACCCCATGCGCCCCATACCCCGAAAGTTATGGGCAACTGTACAGCGGGAGCTGCAGGATATGGTCCGGTGGGGGGTAGTGGAGAAGTCGCGAAGTGATTGGTGTAGCCCAATCATGCTAGTCCCAAAAAAGGACGGGACCATGCAGTTTTGTATTGACTTCCGTAAAGTAAACACAATTTAAAAGTTCGACGCATACCCCATGCCTAGAGTTGACGAGCTCTTGGAGCGGCTAGGACAGGCCAAGTACCTGTCAACTGATTGGCAGATCCCACTGTTGCCCTCAGCGAAGGAAAAGACGCCGTTCGCCACCCCCTTCAGCCTATTCCAGTTCGTCACCATGCCGTTCGGACTGCATGGCGCGGCAGCCACCTTCCAACGACTAATGGACCAAGTCCTAGAGGCTCACCGGGACTATGCGACTGCCTATATCGATGACATAGTCATCTTCAGCAGTTCCTGGGAAGACCACCTCCGGCAACTGGAAGCCATACTACTAACGCTCCAATGGGCTGGACTCACCGCGAACCCGAAGAAGTGCAGTTCGGTAAGAGGGAGGTATCTTATTTAGGATACACAGTGGGGAACGGGCAGCTGAAACCTCTACTGGATAAGGTACAAGCGATCCGGGATTACCCCCGCCCTCACACAAAGAGACAAATTCGCCAGTTTTTAGGCCTGGCGGGATATTACTAGTGTTTTATAGCACATTTCGCCTTGTTGGCTGCCCCCTTGACGGACCTCACCAAAAAAAATCAACCCCCAAAGGTATTGTGGACACCCCAAGAGGCGCGGGTGTTTGAGACATTACGTAAATGTCTGACATCGGAGCCGGTGTTACGACCACCAGACTTTGAGAGACCGTTTATGTTACAGACGGATGCGTCAGAGGTGGGACTTGGGGCGGTACTAGCGCAAGAGGAGGGCAGGGTAGAATACCCCGTGGTATACTTAAGCAGGAAGCTATTCCCCCACGAGAAAAATTACGCCACAATAGAAAAAGAGGCGCTAGCCATCAAGTGGGCGGTAGACTCTTTACGGTATTTTCTCATAGGAAACCACTTCACGTTGGTGACCAATCACGCGACACTGACGTGGATGCAAACCATGAAGGACACAAATGTGAGGATACTCCGCTGGTATTTAAGTATGCAACCATACCATTTCGAAGTAAGGCATAGACCAGGTAAAGACAATCAGAACGCCGATTGCCTCTCTCGACTGCCGGGAGACGAGCAGGAGAGAATGGTGAGTACAGAGATACGGGTCAAGAAGAAACGAGGGAGAGGGAGAGGCAAACCCCTCGCCAACAACTTCCTGAAAGAGAGACGGGGGGGAGATGTGTGATGGGGTGAAGCAACCCCGTCACTTACCAGCGCCGCGAGCCGCAGGTGCCGGTGAGGTAACCGCCGCTGCGACCATGATTGCCACGGCACAACAGGAAGCCGGAGGCTTGTTGGGGCC